TAATAACACAGTAGCACAAAGAGGCCCTGAATAGGACAAACATACAGAAGAGATGGCAACAGCCTCTGCAATATTGCGTCCACTGGGTCCCTTCTCCATGAAATCCTAGCCCAGCTCCCATTTGCTTGGGGTCACTCAGCACGAACCAGTTCAGAGAGTGCCCAGTGACAGAGCCCTGCCCTCCCAGTGCCACCACAGCTCGCAGTGACCGTGCTGCTGCAGGCAGCCGAATGCAGGGACGCTCATCCCTCTGCAGCCCCTGGCAGCGCTGCCATCCCACCCCTGCAGCACACAGACGTGGCTCCAGGCTCTGCACGCTCATTGCCATGCAGCAGGACCCCCAGGTCCCATCTGGATGGACAGATGTGCATGTGCTCACATCCCCACTGCCTGAGACGTCCCCGAGCAGCCGTAACGCTCGAGTGGGTGGTTTGGGTTTGGGGCAACAGAGGATTTTTCTCCCATTAAATAAATAAAAGACGTTCAACTTGGGATAAAGCCATTCTAATCCTTTTATTCTTTCCAAAAGGAAAATGATTCCATATTCAGGGCACTGTGCAAACAATTAATTAGCCTAACGCAAATGAAAGGCCTAATTGCTCAGCATTACTGCGCTCATTGGCAGCCAGGCATGACCAAAGAATAGGTACTGCTTTACCAGGGATAAAGAACAACTTCCCAGCTTTTAGGGCTTTTTTGATATTTCAGCATCTTTTTTTTTGAATGATGGTGTAATTCTCACTTCCACATGCAAAAAAGCTGGCAGTGTTTGGAGACATCTGAATGAGCTGCTATCCAATTAAAAAAAGAGGAGAGGAAAGAGACTCAGCTGGTGTGAAATGACCTGGCTGAAGGGAAGTCGATAAAGCTGTAACTTGCCTGAGCTGAATGACACTGTGGTGTCTCCAGCTGGAGACTTCACTCACAGAAGTGCTGTAACATTAAGAAAAAAATGTATTTTTTAAGGCGTGCACCTAAAATTAAAGTACAATCATCCTTAATGCAGCTCCCTTTTCAATGATCTGTTGTTACCAGATGGAAAAGTGCTCTAAATGGATGCAGATGAATTTGTTCACTGTGGATGGGATCATGACGGATCAGGTTACAGGAGCTTTAAAAAACTGAACTGCTATCATTAATGCATCTCTCACAACAAGGAGATAGAAAGCAGATGCTGACTGGGTATTGACCTAGCCTGAGGAGTATGGGCCCAATAATTCTTCCTTTAGGCAGCTGATTCTCGTGGGAAAATCCCCAAATATTCAGCTGTACTGCCATTATCTGCCTTGTGCAGAGACTGGCAACCAGAGACTCTTCTTTAAAAGCAATCTGGGTGAATTCTGCTCTCATTCACACTTGCACACCCCAAGGAAGGCAAGGCTTCTCAGCAAGGTGGATTTTTGGTGTTTGGGGTGAGGGATTACAAAAAGAAATGTGCTTACAATATAGAATAATACCAGCATGTGAAAAAGGTAAGAACAAATAAAACAGATTCATGGTTGAATGTCACACACACAAAGAAGTAAAAGTTTGAGGGCCTTCCTGAAACCATTTCAGGTCTGTACCTGTTTGTATATGCAGCTGGGAACAATTATTAGATGCTGTTGAAGACTGTGAGACAAAAAAAAAAAAATAAAAGATCCAAAGATGTCATAGCAGGAATGGTCCTTCAGATGAGTGAATATCCCAATAACCTCTGTCAGGCTGATTAACAACATTCTGCTGAGCTCAATGCAGCTGCTACATAACCTCAGAGAGACAGGCACTCCTCACTTGTAAAACAGAAAATTCCAGCAGAACAAGGTTTTTCTTTTCAATTTATTTTGCAAATCTACCAATTCATTTTATGAAAGTATGAAATCCTATGTGGCTACATTAAACAGTTACATTGCAATCCAGGTAATACAAATAATCACTACAAAGTTAGTTTTGGGTACTCTTGGATAACAAGTAGATTTTATATTTTTTAAAATAAGTCACAGATAGAATAGCCTTCTGATTGTCAGAGACTTTAGTTTAAAACAAGGAAACCACTGTAGATTCTCCTCATCCTACAAAAAGTTAAGAGAGAAACACTTTCCATGTTAATGTTCAATTAGATTCATCAAAGACATTAAGTGCACACATCTACTCTCAGGGTAACAAGAATAGTTCTCAAGTTGTTTGGAAACTGGTGTCAAATTTCATTCTCTGGAAATCACTTTTACCATTTAACATCACCTTTGTCCTTGCTTTTAGATAAATAAAAATCCTGTAAAATGCACAGAGCTCCAAATCCTCTCTAATTGAATTCAGTGGGAGTAGGATCAGCTCCTCCATTCAGAAGGTGCTCCTGATATACTGAAATCCTTACAAAACAACCTCCTTCCCAGGAATGAAATTGATGTAAGGAACAAAATACTGTAGTAATTCAGGAAAACCCTCAGCTTTGCTATCCAGCAATTGACATTGCAACTGCATTTCTGAGGACCTTTATGCATGGTCACTCTTTCAACCAGCAAGAGGATGTATGAAGACACCAGCACTAAATGTGCTTGGCAAGAACTTGGAGCTGTGTAAATAAAGTATAAAAATCAAAAAAGAGATCAAATCTGTCTCGAAACAGCTCTGTCCTGTCACTCATCTGACACACCTCCAGTGTCATTCTGCTGCCACTTCTGAAGTGACATCTGTCAATCAATACTGCTTCTTAGGAAGCAATTAAATAGTTTAGATTTTGCAGTGGCATCTCTTACTGTGGTTTTATTTAGGGGTAACACATCCATATGCTGCACATTATGCAACAGCTCCTGAGAAGCAAGGAGAGCTGTTTATAGGGAAATAAGGCAGGTGCAGGTACATTCTGATGGCCTGTGGCACAAAGGAGATTAAAGCAAATAATTTTCTTTTGTAGCCTTCACCTCTTTCAACCAGTGGGTTGCAAACTCTCAAATCTCCCCTCACACATGTGCAACAAACCTGCAGAACCCATTGTAGCACAGAAGTGAAGCCAGCAGCTCCCTTCTTCTAAGAGAAATAGATATTTATCCACAGAGTATCTTTTAACACTGATAACCTCAAAAAAGAAGCCAGACAGGTTACACAAAACTATACAAAATTTTCACCTGGACATAAAGTGCCATCAAACTATGGAAGCAAAAAAAGAAGTCACTGTTGAGGCAGCTACTCAGGTTTATTCCCCTGAAACAGACAAAGTTTGCTACAGTCTTGGAAATGGCACCAAGCTGGTGGGAATGTTACTGTAATAAAGGCTAGCAATTTCCTTCCTGACTAACACTACTCTTACCTGACAGGCCAAAGGCAACTAGGGTGATTTACCTGGTGGCTGACTGCAGGAATTTCCCCAGAAGGTAGTTTAAAATGGTAAGAGATGCTGTCATTTCCCTGTCTCTGATATGGTTACTGTAATTCATGCAGCCCCTTCTTCCTGAGCATGCATTACCACAGACAGCCCCACCCTGTATTACCACTGTGCCTGCTTGTTTTCCACCTCTACTCATGTAAATGTAATGTCAAATCCTCTTAAGAATCCTGAGCAGCCCTCCAGAATCACTTGTTCAACTGACATTTCTGTAATAATAAGGAAAGAAAAAAGAGTTGTGTGAAATTAAATGGCACTCCTGTTGCCAAGCTGTTAAAATTATATGGCAATATGCTTCCAGTAGTTGTAAGAAATTAATATGTGGAGTGCTTACAAGCTTTACATCTACTAAATCTCAACAGGATATAAAATGCTATTTAAGTGATACAAATGTTAAGGAGAAAAAAAAACAAAACAGCACCAAAGAGTGGAAGAAGAAAGTAGATTCTTGTCTGCACTCTGATTCCTGGAGGCTGGATCTCTACAGCTGAGGAAGCCAGGTGGGAGATCCTTGGTGAAGGATTTGTGCACATATGTCAGCAGCTGCAGCTCCCCTCTGCCACCTCTGCAGCACACAGGCTGGGCTCCACCAGTGAGTCACTCCCCTGCTGCCAACAGAGGCTGGCAAAGAGCTCAGCCAGCCCCACTCCCTCTGCCACTGCCTGCTGACAGCACCAGCCAGAGCAGAGCCACTCAGTGTCACTGCTTTTCACCTGCTCCATTATAATGCTGTTCAGGAAGATGTGCCTCAGACACCTGTCTGCAGATGATGAATTCATTTCTGTTTTGCCACGATGTGATTACTGTCATCCTTTTCTCACCACAACATCAAATACAATATAAAACTTTGGATTTTCTATAGTGAGAGTGAAATCAGCATAATGGAAAGCCAGGCGGTGCCAGAAGTGCTGTCACTGCACCATTCTGTGGGACAGGACCAGGGTAAGGCGCTTTGGCAATCAGCACCAAGTTTAAGCAACAAGCTTTTAAAATACCCACAAATTTCCTGCAGATGTACAGAAAACTTGAGACCTCCTGGTTGTTCTTTAAGCTGCTTTGAAACTACAACAATTCATTTAATCCAGCAGCAGATCCTGGCACTATTCTTTTCTAAGTACAGTACATTTCGATAGCAACACAAGCATGTGACACACGAAACAGATTTGTTCAAGCTCACCGTGGTTCTGACGGGCTACACACACCAAGAGGCAACTCAAAAAGAGCACAGAACTCAATTCATCAGGACAACACCACTGACTCAAAGGAATTTCAGCTCAACTTTGTGAATAAAGAAGGAGCTCACAAAGGAAAAGTTCTTATTGCAAGTTGTACTGCTCAGCTTGGTCCCTTCTCACACAGATCTGAAGTATCAAAAGCCACCAAGGAGCCAAGGACAAAGAATTCCTGTTTTGTAACTATTTTAAATATAGCAAGCCTCCTTTAGAAAGAAAAGCCCTCACACAATATTCCAAACAGCCTTTTCTAGCAGACTGGAATCGTTTAATCAACACAGACAGAAAATACACACTTCAAACTACTTCTGGCACCTCGTAACTTGGAAAACTCTTGTGCACACGGGATGAGGCAGCTTGTTTGCAGACCCTTTTCTCGCAGAGCCCTTGGATGGCCCGAGCTGAGCTCAGCAGGTGCCCTCCTCAGCAGGCACAGAGTGGCAGCTGCCGTGGGACACGGTGTCGATGCTGTGGCCCTGGCTCTGGGGGTGGATGGACACCTGCACGGCGATCTCCTGGCCCTGCTCGCTCAGGGAGCCGTCGTCCGAGTCCGCGGCCGGGGAGTGGCTGCGCTTGACGGGGGCGCTGCCGGGGAAGAGCGCGGCCGGCGCCCCGCAGCCCCCGGGCTGCTTCTCCTCCCTGCCCACCTCGTCGGGGTCCTCCACCCGCACGGCCTCGAAGATCTCCTCCATGAAGGCCCTGCAGTTAAGGATCAGAGGCGGGAGGGGAATGCTCCTGGCGAGCTCTTCGATGTAGCGAGCGAACTCCATGGTCTTGAACTGAGTGACTTTGGCCAGCTCGAGCGTTTTGGCGGAGGTGATGATGGGGATGCGCTTGGCTATCTCGAAAGCTTTCTGCAGCTTCTCGGCCCCTTCCGTGCGGAAGAACTCGTTGATGGCCTTCTCCGTCTTGCGGAGGTGGCTGCTCATCATGCACAGGCGGGTGATGTTCAGGATGAGGGTGATGGCAAAGGCAACCAGGCACACGATCATGTAGTAGATGCTCATGTCCCCTGAGGTGAAGATAACCCTCAGGGTGACTGTGTAGTACGAGGTCTCGTTCTGATTAACGCCTGCACACGTGTACCGGCCCCGGTCGGCAAAGCTGACCTTTGTGATGTTGAGGGAATTATCAGCAATCCTCCACAGGTCATCTGCACAGGGGCAAGAAACAAACAGAGCTCGTGAAACAAAAATCCCAGGGTAAACATCACCAGGAGGCAAAGCCTGGCAGTGAGCAGCCCACTTGGAGCATAGTAACAGTACACCAAGGACTGAAATGTCCTTTTCATGCCTGTGACACAGAAAGACATAACCCACTTACCCATCATACTGCTTAATGGTAAATTATTCTGCATGCTTGCTACACTACTTTTACTTCCTTCTCTCATCTGCACTTTCCAGTCTGCTTCTGGTTCTTTCTGATAGGGATCCTAATTCTTAACTAGGGCTTCTCACCTTGGGTTAAAAGACTTTCCTCTATAAAGTCTAATTTTCCATACATTCAGAGTCAAAAGTCCAGCGACCCATGAAAAAGATCAGTCTGTAAATGGCTCTGTTGGCAAAAGAACCCAGAATTTTCTTGAGACAGTATTCTGCTGAGCATGCAGTGCTGACATGCAAAACCCAAGTAAAAGAGAAATCAATACAAGAAGCTCTATACAGCATTTGCTGTGCATTTATAACTTAGGGGGAAAACTGTTTTCATAACTCATTCCTTCTAATTACTCTGCTTTGAACTGTTTTCATAACTTATTCTTCTAATTACTCTACTTTGAACTAATCTCCAGATGGCATTATAACTACAAAAAGGTTACTGAGTACTTAAGGCAGAAAGATGGCCTCCAACAAGATCCTATCAATTAGTTCGATGACCTTCATTAATACTAATAGAGAACAACACATGTATCTCTAAAACATTTTCTAAAATTAAAAACTGCAGGGATAGAACTGTAAGAGCCAATAGCTAGGAAAATATATTCCCCTTCAGTTCAAAAGGGTTAAATAGCATGAATTCCATCGCTGGCCACTACACATTGTGTTACTTTCCACAGTCTCACTGGTGCATAAACCAAAAAATAAATGTACTAAGTATGTTTTAAAACATATCCTGTAGCAAAATTAAAGCACCAACTGCCAGCTCAAAAGGTTGCCAGTTGTGGAGAACTGTGTTTAATTCATTCATTTGGAAAAATATAATTTCAACCAGAGCAATAATAAATAAACCCATCAGTTAGTGCTGGGTAAGATGAAGACTCATTTCTTCTGTATGGAACACTGGGATGACTCCTGAACAACATCATTCTGTGGGACACCAAAGCAGGATGGACAGAAGTACTCAGGTGTAATTTCCATGCAACATTTCAGAGGGCAAAGGACTTTGTTTTGCTCTCTCTTTATCTTCCAATTGTAAAAACTGGAGGATACGAAGAGAAAATTATAATAAAGTCCCAGGGTTTTCCAACACTCTTTAAAAGGGGAATAATGATGGATAGAAAACAGCAGGAAAACTCACCTTCATCTTTCTGTTCAAGCAGGTGTCCTCTGGAGTTATACCAAAGGATATGTTCATACTGGCTGATGTTCAGTTTACATTCAATTAAAACACTGCTCCCCTCTTTGGCTATGATATCATGGTGTGCTGGAGAACTTATTAAAGCTTGAGACACTGCATGAAGTGATGCATTGAAAGGCCTAAAAGCAACTGTCCTGTTAAAAGCTACATTTTCCACTGTGAATCCAGCTGAAAGACCAGCACTAACAGTCAAAATTAACAGGCAATAGCTGAGCTTCATGGAAGGCTAGTGAAAATTCTTCTTTCATTTAATTTGGAGAAATGAGGTCATATGATATTAAGCTGTCTGTATTGCTCTGAGATAGGAGAGGAGCTCTTGATTTGTTCTGTGATGGAAAATGTCTGGGATCCAAGTGCACTTTCAAGACCATCAATATTTGAAGTGGAAACTGGAAGTAAAACTGGAAAAAAAAAAAGGCAATAAGTTTATTAATGACCACAAGGCTACCATGTATTCATATTAAACTTCCAATAAACAGATTTCAAATATCATAATATAAACTGTCAACTGAGAGGTTCCAAATCAGAGCTTTGCTCAGAACACAGTGATAAAATGAGGGTAAGAAGACATTAGCACAACCTCCAGTCCACTAGATGTTCATCTTCCCAACCAAATAAATAATCTCTGGAACAATAATCATTAAGGGGAAAAAGGTTTTAGAAAAAGAACAAATTGTTCAGACTACTCGAAATGCACAATTATCTTTAAAAGTGGGTTCTGCATTTGTTACCAGAGAAAAAGTGCTTTCTTAATAGAGGAAGAAAAGCAAGAAAGAGGATGTAATTTCTGCCTGCCTCTCCACCAATATCAAAGTGCTTTTAAGCCCTGGTTTTCTAAAGCCAGTCTTTCATTTACTACCCAAAGAAAAACCAAAGTGCACACATGCACATCTGATTTTTAGCATCTACATCTACTTACTCGATTTTAGGGGCACAATTGATATTAGGTGTCTAAATATTATATAATATGGTTTAATTACTTGGGAAAAGTCTCTTAGTTGTTATTTACAGCCAGAAGAGGAAGTCCCTTTCTGAACAGCAGGACACTGATGTCTACACATCTACTTCCTTTTTTACAATATCTCTTGTTGCTGCTGCATTTTCTAAGTCTGCTCCCTGTTATTCTTGTTTGTTTTACAATGAGCTCCTGTTGAAAATCTTTTAGTTTATGCTGCTTCATCTCAGCAGTCATATATTCTTCATTGTCTTGTCCACCCATATTTCATAAATATGTGAAAAAACTTGTTTTGTCTAGGGACAGATACTCTTCAAATTAATGTGCACAAAAGATATTTTAAGACATCAGGATACAACAAATTTTCCGTCTCTTGTACACAAGCCAGAACAAAACCAACTTGTTACAAAATGAGATGACACTGATAAGAGACAATCTGTTATCAATTTTCCTGGAAGCTCGATTCAAGAAAATTTCTAATCCAATATGTGTTCCCTGAAGTTATGATTCCATCTAGACAGATCCAGAGCCTTAAAAAAACATTTACAAACTACAGAAGCCACAAGCTCAAATATTATACTAAAAAATATCTCACTTCATATCATTGACTGTGTGACTTCAAATTTATTATCTTCTACAAATAACAGATGTTAGTGGAAGGGAATTTCATAAATATCACAACACAAAGGGACCCATTGACTTAATAAATAATGCAGACACTTTTCATCCTTCTAGAATTACCAGTTAATACTATCTAAAGCACTTCTGAAAAATAAAGTAACATGCATAAAACCAGGTGATTTCTAGTAATTGTCTTTCATCAGAGACAAACTAAGCATATTCAAAAGGGGGAATTCTGCTGATGCTATCCAGACTGGGAACCTTTTTCAGTGAAAGTTAATTTGTCAAAGGTCAAACCAGATTCCAGACTTGACATCTAATGAGAAATGTGTTATCTGACCCATTTCCATTTCTGTTGTGGCTATTGCCAAAGCCAGTTTAACAAAGAAGGCAAAGAAGGCAGCTGTGTCCAACTCTCCTTCAAGCTTGACTAACCAACTCACCCACTGAATCCTGCAAGAGAAACTGGAAAACAGGCTCCCTACTTGTTACTCTGTAAACAGCAATCCCTTCATCTGCCTTCTTCTTTTTCTTTTTTTAATCATTGGCCCCACTCTGTTTTCTATCATGCCTCTTGTCCTTTCATTTAAGATGAGACTAGTGCAGAGAACTCAATTATACCATTGTGCTGGAGGAGCCACTTTCCCACAGCTAAATAGTTAAAACCACTACCAAGGACTCTTTCATTCCTGTTTTTCACCAGCTACACTTTAGGGAAAGCATTTCTGAGTCCTGCTGCCTCTGAAGAACAGCATCCCATCCACAGCAACTGCACAGGTCTGAATAAAGAAATACTAAGGCTGCTGTTGGTCAGCAACTATTCTTCTGTTTGAAGGAGTGGTTTTAACCTTCCAGTTTTAGACCCCTGGTATCTTCAGAGTGTTTCAGAGCCTGCAAAAGGCTGCTGACACTGACCTGCTTGCTTTGGCAACCTTATGCAGACCCCACACAGGCTGTGGACTGGTGGTGGTTTGTGGACCACTGATATTTGGGTTGCTTGAAAGGTCTGTCGCAGCTTGTGGTGGCAAGTGAGGTGCTGTGATCCCAGACCTGCAGCACACATCACCCTATGCCCCAGCTGCCTTCAGCTAAAAATGCACTTTTGCATGCATCAGACTTGATTTCACAGCACCTGATGCAATTAAAACAGATCAGAGATCAGCAGCAAACACAAACCTTCATCTTCACCCTTGAATCACAGGCACATTACAACTTCTAGTCTTCTAAAACAATAACAACCCAACTGATACTTTAGATTTATTAGAGAATAATCCCAGAGAATAATCCTCTTGTACTTCGCCTGTGCAATTGTAATTTTAAATTATTAAATTTGAATTGTTAAGGTTTCCAAGCGTCTCTGACGTCTGTTCCTAAATGACATTAGGAATCTCACTCATTTATTTAACACAAGAAATACTCAGCAACATTTTCCCTCATAAGAATAATTATCTTCAGTAATTGCATATGCTCTCCACTATCCTTGCACTGAGCCTGCATAATGCATAAACCATTGGTGATGGGTCATTTAATTTTACTATTAAATTCTTCGAGGTCTGATTTATTAGAAATTGTTTGTCTTTTGGAAAAGCCATTATTGCTAAGCAGACAATGATCTCTCACTGCCGAGTGCTGGGAACAATAAAATGATTTGCAAAATCCGTATTCTTCATCCACTGCACTTATGCAAAACAGCTGTTAAAGGACCCAAAAAGGATAAAGCCTGATCAGTGCCAACATCACAATTCTTCAACAAAGTGTTAAGCTCAATCAAGATGAAACGTGCCAGAATAGAAACTGGCTATTTTACAACTGAACCTGAAGCTGAACTCAACACATTTAACCTTTATTAAACCATAAGTTGTAACAACAAATAGCAGTGGAAAGATAAAAATCTGTGATGCATGTGCTTGTATGAGTCATCCTTGGCTCCGACCCTGAAGAAGTGTATTTGTGTCTAACTTAGAGCACTCTAAGTAGTCCCACTGAGGTCAGTGGAAGCACTGATAGTACTTAAAATTACACACATTTATATGGCACTGCAAAATTGGGGCCCAAGAGGTTGCAAGTTATATGGTTTTACATCCACTGCTTATAACATCACTTCATACCTGGAGTAACGTGAGGCAATAAACCGAGACACACCTGACAGAGCACAGGCTGCTGATGTCTTGCAGAAATACCATTTGCAAGCCCCCTCTGACCCTCTGTGAGAGAGGGAGATGCATTTGGCAGAGCCCTGAAGACAGGAACTCTTGGGAAGTTTATGAACACATCCAGCACGGTGCTGACAAGAGCCATTCCGGGTGCTCCAGCATGGGAGAGGCTGCAGGGAGGGCTCACCCTCTGCACCAGCCAAAGCTCTGCAGGGGAATGGCAGCACCCACAGCCCAAAAAACATCATAAGAGGCAAATCCACAGCATCCCAGGGCCAGCCTCACTGCTGCCTGATGGGATTTGTTGTTTTCCCTTGGCTGCCTGACAGGACACGGTGTTTTGCTGTGCTTATCCCTTGGCAGTCTGTCACACATAACTCACCAGGACACACCATCAACTGCGCACCAAAATAGGTTTTTTGTCCTGTCAGCTAAAACCGACCAGCCACAAAGTTCCACTTAACATCACCCTGTCCTCACAGCCCCAGTTCATTCGTGGAAAAGCCCTGGTGCCAGCTGGTGGTGGCAGTGGGACACAGGACATGCGACATGACCATGACCGCACTGCAGCCGAGGGCACTGGGACACGGGGGGGGTGACATCACGCGGGCTGGTGTCACTGGGGCATGATGTCATGCCAGAAACACAAACAGAATATTCTGAGCTGGAAGAAAACCAACAAGGATCATCCAGTTCAACTCCTGGCCCTGCTCAGGACGCCCCAACAGTCCCAGCCCGTGCCGGGCAGCGCTGCCCAAACGCCCCTGGAGCTCGGGCAGCCTCGGGCCCTGCCCATTCCTTGGCGAGCCCGGGCAGTGCCCAGCACCCTGTGGGGGAAAACCTTTCCCTGACCTCCAACCAAACCTCCCCTGGCACAGCTCCAGCCGTCCCTGGTGTTGTCACTGTCACACAGAGCAGGGATCCGAGCTGTCCCTCCGCTGCCCCTCGGGAGGAGCTGCAGACCCCATGAGCTCTGCCCTCGGTCTCCCGTTCTCCGGCCTGAGCAGACGAAGTGACCTCAGCCGCTCCTCCTGTGCCTTCCCCTCGAGGCCCTCCGCCGCCTTCGCTGCCCTCCAAACCTGCCTCTACTGCCCCTATTTCCACGCCAAAACAGCGAGGCGGCACATGGCTCCGCAGCCTCCCCATCCGCCGCTGCCCTCCGACCCCGAGCTTGCCCGGTGAACCTGGCGGTACCGCCGCTCTCACCGGGACGAGGCTGCCCGGCCCGGCCTGGCCCGTCCCGCAGCTCCGCCGCCGCCGCCGGCCCCGCCGCCCGGACGCGCTTCCCCGAGCCGAGGCCGCTTCCGGGGCAGCGCCGGGGCCGCTCTGCGCCGGCCTCGCTGCTCTCGGTCCGCCCGGAGCCGCGGGGGCCGCGCCGACCGCCGACGGTGAGAGCTGGCACCGGGTCCGGGGCTCTGCGGGGCACAGCGAGCCCCGCGGGCAAACGGGCGTTGGGGACCGCTGCGGGGCAGGCGGGGCCACGGCGGGGCGGTGCGGGCACCTGGCGGGCTCCGTGTGCGGCAGGAGCCCCATGGGGAGGCTCAGGGAACGTGCCGTGCCATATGGGACAGCCCCGTGTGGGGGTCAGGGGACTCTGAGGGTCTCCGGAGGAAGCGGAGGCACAGGGAGGCCTGCAGGGCTGCGGGGTGAGGAGGGTGCCGGGGGTGACCCGGGGTCCCGGCAGATGGGGTGGCGGTGCCCAGCCCGCAGCCGGAGCTGTCACTTTCCTTCGCTTGAGGCCCCGCCAGCTGCCCCGATTGCATCAGTGACAGGGACACAGCAGTGTCACCCCAGTGTGATCCTGGAGAACCCGGGGGGTCCCGGCTTGTCCCTGCCTGCCCCGCAAGGCACTTGAGCCGCAGGGGCTGTCATAGGAGCCCGGAGGGGTGACAGGCGGGCCCCGGGCCCAGCGGCACAGCCGCGCTCCCGGCTCCCCGACCGCGGGCCGCGGGGCTGGGGCGGCTGCTGGGGCGGCTGGAGCTCACCGCGGCTCCTGGGGGTGTTCGTGCTCATCCCCAGGGACAGGAGTGACCCACTCGCTGCCTCCCTGCCTGCTCAGCTCTCTGACTGCTGTCCCCATTTTATTCCTACACTCCTCAAGCCATCCCAGCCATCCCAAGCGATTTGTTTTCACTTTCATTTTGGTGAGACATGTAATGGATTTAATTATCTGAGGCCCTTTTGTACCTTCATTTGTTTTTCAGAGTTAGCAAGCTGGTTTATTTTGCTGCGGAGAGGGTGTGTCAGTTAGATAAAGCCACGTGTCCCTGTGGGACTTTAAACTTCCAAGTATGCTATTTTTGAGTCAGACGTAATTTGGTGTGCACGCATGTGGGTACATGTGGCAACACTGTTGTGTTTAATTATTTAAAACACCGATGTGATGCTGTTGATCTAATGTCAAAGTGCGAGGGAGGGATTAGGTTATTTGCTTTGCTTTCTGTGGATGTTTGTAGTCATGTCTGAGGAAGACAGTGGTGAAAATCTGAAAGATGAAACCTCTTACAAAGTTGAAAATGAACAGAAGACAGAGGAACTTGGCTGCTCTGAGAGCAGTGAAGGGAAACAACAAGAGACTGCGCCTGTGACTCGGAAAAGACCTGAACCCAAGCCCCCAAGCCAGCCTGCTGCCACAGAAAAGCCTGCAGGTGAAACCATCAAGGTAAGTTCCTGTGCTTGCTCAGAAAGATGGGACTTCACATTTCATGGCTTTGAGCACAGGAGAACTCCGAGCATAAGCCTCACTCCTTTCTGAAAATTCACATTGCTGTTCTCTGAAATGAAAAAGCTGCACAAAAGTCACAAGTCAGTCTGGTTGTGTTCCTTTCCTCACCATAATGCCTGCATCAGTCTTCTGTTTTTCTTCATTAAAGGTCTCAGATCCTCCTGCAGTTCAGACAGGGTGGGGCTACTGGGGAAGCTGGGGGAAATCTCTTCTGTCAACTGCGTCTGCCACCGTAGCTACTGTAGGTAAGGCTCTTTCTGGTGTTTGATAAATATTTTAATCATGTTTTGTGTCTCAAGCTGGTGCTTTAGAACTTGTTTCTGGAGAAGAGGATTTCAGTTATAGCAGCCATTATTGGAAAAATGTCAAGAGAATTGTTCAAGTAATGGGAAAAGCTTGTACCAAAAGGTACAGTGAGATTAAAGAGATATGCACAGGCAGAATTACTTTCAGGTTTTTAAGGTGCTTGTGTAATTTTCACCTGGTATTTTAAACTAGTATTCTGCCAGTATTTACAACTTTATTTAAAAGCTAAGGTGAAACCTTAGTTCATTACATTGTTAGGTGAGCTGGATAGAAGGAGGTTTTTATGCTGGTTAAACTGTTTTGAACAGAAGGAATCCAGAATAATAAAAAAGAAAATGCAGCTCTAATCCTGTTTCTGTCTTCTCTAGGTCAAGGTATTTCAAATGTCATAGAAAAAGCAGAAACAACCCTTGGGATCCCCAGTCCTAGTGAAATCTCGTCAGAGTCTAAAGATGGTGCAAGAGGTCAGTTTTGTACTGCATCAGAACAACCCTGCAATGTTTTTCACAACATAATGAGCCCCAAAATAACATCACCTTACTCTGCACCTTGCACCTTGAGACTGATAATAAAATCATTTAAATAATACTGTCTTGCTTAGTACTGTTAGCTCTGAAAAGTAGGGAGGAGCATAATCTGAATTGTAGGCTTGCTCCCAGCTGATATTTGGTGTCTGTTGATTTTCTCCACTCTGTGGCTGACAGGGTCTTTTATTTTTTGGAGGTCAGGAAGTTAATTTTCTGCCTTCTAATGCAGGAAGTGAGGATCCTGCTGCCAGCAACGCTGATGCAGCTGATGATGGCAGCTCCTTCCCTATTGCTGGGGCTCTTGAAGTTTTATCAACCATCTCTACTGCTGTCCAAAGCACAGTGAGTGAGTTGGGAATGCAGGAGAAAATGGGTTTAAGGGAGCTTTGGGGTTTTGGCCTTTGATCTGAAACATTGTAAGAAGAAACTTAATTTTGACAGTTGTGGGATGCATGGTGATAAACTCTTCCAGCCTTCAGAAAACCATTATCTTGGGCCTTGCTTTACTGACACCTAATGTGAAAGGTGTTCTGAATTTTGATAGTTCTGTATTGAATGTTGGTACCTGACAAAAAAATCCTAGCGGTGGATTGTGCAGAGCGTGCATTTCTGTGCATGTCACCTCTGTACCTGTCATCTCTGCCTTTCCTTTGGAGTAGTCAGCTGAATGCAGGGTCAGACTCATTCCTGGAGTATTTCCACTGATTTCCACAGAACTAGAGATGAAATTCATTCTCCTCTTCAAAAATCCTATGTGAAACTAGCTCAGTTGGCTTGGAAATCAGCTTGCTCCTGTGACCAGGAGAAATGCACTTCAAAGGAAGCCATTACCCTTAGAAACTGCTTTTGTGATCTGCTGTCTTGTCAATTTGCCTGGGAATCTGAAAGAGCTGCAGATTGAAAGCTGGCTTCTGTTTTTTGCTTTTAAGGCTCAAACAAAAGTTACCAGTCAAAATCCACAGGTCTGGTGTTTTCTCATTGGAAGGATGAGAACTGAATTCTGTAATGTGCTGAGAGCCAGCTTGTTCACAAACTAAAAAAATGTATTTCCCATCAGATTGCTGCAGCTGTCTGGGTGCTGTAATAAGCTGTTGGGTGATAATGTGTTGTGGCTCTTTCCATGTCCTGCTGCTCTCTTTGTGATGATTAGGGTTGAATTTAGGGTGACAAGGACCAATTTGGCTTTTATGTGAGCGCACAGTGTAAGATTGCTGATAAAACCCTCCCAATTCAATTTCTTCATTGGGTAATTTTCTCTGAGTTTTATGTGCTGTCTTTATCCAAATCTGATTCCCAGGGTAAAAGTGTTATCAGTGGAGGTCTGGATGCCTTGGAATTCATCGGCAAAAAGACAATGGATGTAATAGCTGAGGGAGACCCTGGATTCAAAAAAACAAAGGGCCTCATAAACAGAACCTCTACATTATCTCAGGTACAGCACTTCCCTATCAGCACCTCATTGGTTTCTTTCATCTCTTCTCCCTTCTTTTGTGGTCCTATCATTAAGCAGCCATTTTTTGCTATTGAGCCAAAAACCCTCTCCTCCTGTATTCTTTATCTCCTGGCACTGTCACGAGGCCTCTGCTTTTCTTTTTCAGGTCTTAAGAGAAGCGAAGGAGAAAGAAGAGCAGCAGACAGCTACCGAGGTTACCATGGCTACTGAGAAGAAAGCC